TTTTTTTTTTTGGTGTGTGTGTGTCCTTTTCCTCACGACATGGGCGAGGTCCCAGCATCCGTGGCTCAAGCGATCTGGTGTAAACGACCTCGTCGTGTGATCAAAGGACTCGACGGTGGCAGCGAGTTTCTATGGTGCGGTAGCGTTTCTTAGGGGGATGCCTTGCATGTCATTTGCCAAATCAATGGACATTCTACTCGATGAATGGGGGAGGATGAATGCCGAGCATTGCCACCTTCTCTGTCAGGACGGCTGGCATTTTGGTGTAAGGAAACCATGATCATCAGATATCATCAATCGAAGTGTCAAACCGCTGTGTCTCTGGACCCTGTGAATAAAGAGGCAGACATCACAAAACTTCCAACACATCAAATGTCAGACAAGACATATCAAAGCATCATAAAACATCATACAACGTCACAAGACATCAAAGATCCATAACAAGATCACATTCCAGGCCTCTCCGCCGTCCGCCGTCCCTGCCGTGCTCGACCTCCAGCGACGCCTCACCCCGCTCGACCGACCCGGCCATGCCTGCACGTCGGCCGTCTCGACGGCGCGTGTGGCTCGGCAGAAGGAGGTCGAGTGTGACGTGGCCTCCAACCTAATAGGTCTAATGGCGACGGCCTCCAACCTAATAGCAAAAGGAACCTGGCTGGGTCGCAGGGTTGCCCCAGAACTCACCCTGGTTTGTTGACCAAGGTCATGGTGGTCCATTCTGTTCATTTTCTGCGGTCCACCGTTATGCCCTGACCCGTAGCCATGTCGGGTACAAGGCTGAAGTCAATTCGTAAAGCAGTTGGTCCCTTGAGTCAGGTAGGGAGGTGTTGGGCTTAGATCAAGAATGAAGTCATGCCTGGGTGAAGTCATGTGGGGCAGATAGGCAGACTTAAGACTCTAAGGCAAGGCAAGAAGAATCATGGAAAGGGACATCCGGATTTGAGAGACTCTAGCTATGTATAGCTATTCCTTTGTCAGAGTGAGTTGGACGCGACAGAAATAGGGTTGTCCACTGCCCGTTTCAGCGGACGAGGTGCTGTTGCTGCTGGGATCAGGACGAGGTGTGGCTGTGCTGTGCTAAAGAGCGCCGTCCGAGCTCTTTCATCCAGATGTTGGGGCAGTAATCCCTGGCCCAAAAAGCCTTTGAAGACCAGGTCCCAGCTCCACTTCCCAGATGCCTCCCGTCCGAGCGACGCGGCACACCCGCGCGCCGTCCGGCCACGGGACCCGCAGGACGACGAGGCCTGGAGCGACTCCGACTCCGACGCCTCGTCGACGTACGAGTCAGTGGATGACTCTGCCTGGCCGCTGGGGCTTGGAGAAGGTGGGTGAGACTGTCTTTGACGGATGGTTTTGGACGATCTTTGGGGGGATCGGATGGTTTTAGGATGCGGCAGGTCCATTTTTTTCCGTTTTGGGTGGTGCTGAATCGATAGACGAGGTATGACGAGGTGGACTTGGGGGTGAATTGGAATTGGAGGGTCCCACAGGCTCAGGGTGATGGAGGGTGGCCCCATCTCTCAAGAATGTGGAGGGTGACCAGTGGTGAGTCAGCTGGTCAGTGGGACGAGTATGCAGAGGTAGGAAGCCAAAGCCGCACCCTGAGCTGCATTCCATGGCTGTTGACCCACTCCACACTGGGCTTGGCACCCGTCCACGTCGTGCGTTGACCACCATGCAAACCTGGGTACGGCGCCGACTCCGCGTCCATTGGTGACCCAGGTCGCCCAGCTCAACACTTCCCAACTACACCACTCCCAAAGCGCCCGGAACCCAGATCTGTGCTCAGATCCTCTGCGAGCCTCGAGGAAAGCGCATGGAGTCCTCAGCCTGAAGCATGAGGCTGACTAGACATGACTAGACATGACTAGACTTGAATTCTTGGGATCCGGTTCCTTTTGGAACCCCACACACCTCTTCGGGTTCATACACACGTTTCAGAAACGCCTCTTGAAAACACCTCTTTGGGTTCATGGAGCACCCCAAGAGCTTGGAGCACCTCGATTTCCACACGTTTCTTCACCTCTCCCTCTCCGACGATCTCTACCTGCCGGTCTCGTCTGATGGCGGCGTGCTCCACGTGGCCTCGGACCTCTCTCCCAGGCGGGGGGAGCGGAGTTGCACCCAGTGCCGATGGCCCTCACCTGGGAGATCGTGGTGACATGGCATGGCCCCCAAAAAGACACATCACGAAAGGTAGCCCTTTAGGAGATACCTTGAGTTTGTCTTGCGAAGCAAGTGTCGGCTCGTCCGGGTCTAATAATTGATCGCTCAATTCAACACCCCCCCCCCCCCCCCCTCCGAATTTTTTTTTTCAAGCCCCCCCCCCCCCCCCCGGAGAATTTATTTTTCAATACCGACCTCCCCCCCACCTCTAAATTCAAATTCTCTCCTGGAGAACGTCTTCGTGAGCCTCTCATGATTTCAGGATAGTTGAAACCCTCTTGAACATTCAGAAAGAGTGCATATGAAATTCTAATCACGAAAGGTGTTCCCCGAGGGGATACCTAGAGTTTGTTTTGTGAAGCACGTCAATTCTCTCCTGGGGAACGTCTTCGTGAGCCTCTTATGGTTTCAGGATAGTTCAAATCCTCTGATGCTCCGATTCAATGCTCACCGATGATCTGAGCCATGGGGCAAGTTTGTTTTCCTAAGAATCTTTTTGAACATTTCGAGAGCATATGTTTGAACAAATTTAGAGTGCGTATGAAATTATATTTACGAAAGGTCGCCTCCGAGGGGATAAATCACCATGTCGAACATTGCATTTTTGTTCCTGCCTCTCGCGTTCTTTTCTCTTCCCGCTGTCCTACCTTTCGTGTCTCCCTCCTCTCAAGTTGTTCCTCCCCCAAAAACAGGTGGTGAACTTCACCTATCCATGATGATTGGGAGTGTCACATTTGGCGTTGCCTTTGGAATTCCAAACTCGTCCCTGGGTGCAGCTCCCACAGCCGTTTCAGTTCACCCGCGCCCTCACCCTCGCCCGCACCCGTGCAGCCCGTGCGCCCGCGCCCTGCGTGCGATGTTGCAGACGGGGAGGTATAAGACGAAGATCCCCACCCCGCCCACGGGCTCCGTTTGGATCTTCCAAGGCCCAGACCATGTGAGACGTGGAAACCGGGGGGGGGGCTGCGAGGGCCAATCGGATTCGAGTGGAGATGCAGGCAGAGGGTGTCCTTCTTAGGATGCCAGGCGGAAGCGGGACATATTTTTGGAGAAAACTGGAGGAAGCCGGTACTTGACTAGCTGGCTAGTTCTTTGTCTTGGCAAAGATCATTGTAATTCATTGTATATTATTGTGCTGATTAGAGATAGGACCAGACAAAGTAGAGCAACTAGAGGGAGTGATGGTGTTGCCGAGCGATGCTGCTCTGACTGAGCACATCCGTTTTGTCCTCTCCTGTCTTTGGCCACACATATGACGCGTGCAACACAACAGAAAATCATCAAACAGTCGATGGAAAGGTATCATGGGACCCAATGATGGGAGAGTTCGGCCCGTTTCGATTGTTTACTGTGGTCAGCAGATTAGGACCGTCAGCAGCTCTGTTTTTTAAGGGTTTCCATAGTTCAGGTGTCCTCCCTGCTCTGGTTCTTTAGAGGATTGAAAGTCTACTTGTGATTGCCTGTATACCTACTATGGCCAACCTCTTTGCCTGTTCCTAACTTTGCCTTGCCTTTTTCCACCACGAGAGCATTGCGACGATCATGATTGACAGGTTTTCCGATGCGTTGTTTGGGTGTTCTCCCTCAGTCCGGACATGCGTTTGATGGGTCCGGAACGGTTCCAGCAAAATGCAGAGGTATCCAGACCTTGATTAGCTTGGCCATTGCTGTGCTCCTGGAGTTCTTCAATGCCGAAGACTTCTTCCAACGCTGCCTACGCTTTGAGGGTGCCAACGGCATGGGCTTGGCCCTGGCAATTTGCGCGCTAGTGTCGCAGTTTGTGATGTTGCCCGCCATGAACGACTTGGTGAAGGCACGTGAAGAGCAGAAAGTGGGGCAGCCCATTCACCATCCGGCACCCAATGAGTTGGCGACAGAAGATTCGACGCACATTAATGAAGTTTTTATGTTATATACTTTTCTCTACCTGGACCTTCAAAAGGGTGCCAATGGAGATCCCTAAGTAGTGTATAGGGTAGTCATGGGTAGTCAATTGGAGACCCCTTTGAAGGTTTATTCATTCATTTTTCTTTTCTTGGTGGGAGTGGGCAGGGTAGTCGCGTTGGTGGGCTTCTCCTTGAGATCACGCCCATGGGCCTCTTCCCCCCCAGCATTTTCAGGGCTATCAGCACACACCTGCTTTGGTTTGATCGGTCGGGCAAGATGCAGGTTTGAGAAGTTTAGTGCCAGATTCAACGAGACCAGGGCACACTCCCCCAAAGCTTCCCAACTCAGAACCCGCGTTCTGGTGGGGTTCTAAGCCTTAGAAGGGTCCTCAAGGGTCCTGCTCCCATGCCCACGATCTTTTCGGGGGGAGGACGGAGGATGTGATCGATCGCCACGGAAGGAGGATGATCGGATCTTATTTCTCTACAAGTTAAGGGCCTTTGAGAACATCGTGGAATGGTTGCCCGTCTTCATCATCCACGCGGTGGCCCTGGTGGCTCTGGGGCAGACCGGCACTTGCGTCGTTTTATGCATTCCCTACACGGCTGGGAAGGTCATGTTCTCGTACGGCTACGGGAGTGGGAACTCCGACAGCCGGGTGCCGGGGCTCATCGTCAGCGACTTCTTCGGGCTGCTGGTCATGCGCGGTATTTGCATCATTGCGCTGGTCCGGCACTGCATGGCCTAGAGAAAAGGAGGTGCAAGGGCTGGGGCACAAGCCATCACCATCACCATGCTGCGGCGCTGTCTCCTCAGAAGGAGAACGCCGACACCTGCTTGTGAGGTGATTTGGAACAGGATGCAAGGCAAAACGTTTTGTCAGAGACTTGGGAGATGCCAATCTTCCGTGGCTTTGCATTAGGGGGAGCGTTCTGAGCACGATCTCAGGCATTTTCGAAGGTCCCGCCATAGAAGAAAAGGGTGAGGACTTGGGAGCCGCGGCATGCCCTGACGTGCACCATGCATACAACATGATATACATGCGGTACATACATACCATACCATACCATACCATACCATTACATTACAATAACTTACATGCATGCTGCGTACATACATACACAGACAGAACCAGAACCAGAACCAGAACCAGACCAGAACCAGAACCAGAACCAGAACCAGACCAGAACCACAACCAGACCAGAACCAGACCAGAACCAGACCACAACCAGACCAGAACCGAACCAGAACCAGACCAGAACCAGACCAGACCAGAACCAGAACCAGAACTAGACCAGAACCAGACCAGAACCAGACCAGACCGACATACAGCAATCTAATTGTTGATTTTTGGCGAGGGTATTTGGATATACTTTTTTTTGTGGTTTTGACGTCTCTCGAACGCGCATGTGTTCTCAGGCGCGTGAGAAAAGAAAGAGAGAGATACAGAGAGAGAGAGAGAGAGAGAGTGTACCTGTACGCATCATATCTCGAGTGAGTGTGGGTGTGTGGGTTGGGGGTTGGCTTCGGCCCCTATGTAGACTTGGCCCATCTTGGCCCGGTCCATCCCAAGTGCTCAACCGGCTCTTCGGTCCGTGAGGGGTTTGGCGGAATTGACCATGGAGAGGACCCGATGCAGACGGTGGTTTGCCCAAACAAATAGATCATAGAATCATACTTTCAACATTGGCATGAACAGTTTCCATACGAATTTGGGGACCTTCACTGGACTTCTGCCCTTGGTATTTTATATAGGTCTTGACTCTCGACACGTGTGACATCCGAGTATGCTGTAGACATCTGTGGACTATGTGTTTTTGGCCCCACTCCTGCAGCCTGCAGCAGTGACACTTCTTGCGGCCCCCTAGTTTCAAACAGTCAGATTGGGGCATTAAAGTCTGGGGCTGCCACTGGGTTGCTTCCCCGACCCTTTGGAACAGATCGGACAGAAGAATATCATCCCAATTCAGACCAGTTCATCTTCCTCTGAAGGTGTGCAAGCTGACCCCACAACCGCCCGCCAACCGCTCGCCCAACCGCCTGCGCCCAACTCGCTCTTCGCTGCCAAGCTGCGCCCAACCGCTCTTCGCTGAGGGCCTTAGAGTGGGACTCCCTCTTCTTCACGCCTGAGATGTTGGCCACGGGCCCAGGTGCTGGGGTGTTTGTCTGGGCTGGGCGTGAAAACAGCAGCGGTTGGTGGTTGGGGCGGTGGCGGTCCCTGGTACCGCCTTCTTTTGCCAGCACTGTCCCTGCAGCGAAGCATACAGGTCTTTACGTGCTTTTTGGAGCTAAGGCCAAGCCAAAAGAGGGCACTGAGATGAGAGTGAGCTTCATCTCCACTTTCTGTGTGGGCAGGTTCTGCTCCAACCTTTACTCCAGCTGATATATGCGATATATGATATATGCCTCCTTTTTCACAGGGGCTGTGTGGCGGCGCCCCTCGCACCTGCGTGCACAAAGGCCGGTGGAGGACGCACCGAGGATCCACAACCACATGAGCCTACTGATCCCACTGTGGGCCTGTTTTCCCTCAGCAGCACATATAGGTGAGGTGATGTCGCCAGCAGAGACCTCACATCTTAGTCGCCTGGAGGGCGAGGAAGGTGCCCACCAGCTTGTGGCCTTGGCCTTTCTCCGTGGCCGTCCACCTTCTCGCCGCATCCAGCTTTGGAGGCGCGGCGGTTTGGTGCAGGGTTTGCGTTGGATGAGGGGGTTTGGAGAGTTCTTTTTTGTGCGTGCGGTGTGGACGGACGCGGTGAGTAGTGCATTAGTACTTGGGACGTTCATCTCGTTCATGCAAATGAACTCCCAAGCTGTTGTGAAGGGTAGGGTTCCCTCAAAGAGTTCGGGTCCAAAGGTCGTTGGAAGTGCGGCGCATGGGAAGAAAGCCCTCCTGCTTTTGGGGCGGACGCCACTGGGGCGCGCCTCCGCTCTCGACCTTGTTCAAAGTCCTTCTGCGCCTGTCCGCATGAAGTTCCCGCAGCTTTCCAGCTCAAGGGGCCCTTCAGCGGTCGCAGCCGGAAAGGTCGCGGCTCCGTGCCACAGCACCGTGCCACCAGGGCTGGTGCCTGCCCTTTCTTTCGCTGTCTACGGAGCATGCAAGGGGGGGCACGGGAAGATCTGGTCCACTTGAAGCAGGCGCGCGGGGGGCGACCAGCTCTCCAAGGCAGTCTCGACCCCAAGACGGAGCCAACTGCCTGAGTGACCTGCTTTTGGACATCCTCCGGATATGATACGAGTTGGCTGGGCTGCTTGCCCAAGCTGGTTTTGGTTGATCAAGGCCCGAGTGTTTGGCTTAAGCTGGGCTGGTCACTTCTTCCGAAATGTAGCGGGCCTGTGGCAACATAAATGCAGGATATAATCAACCATCGGTACTCAGGACACAAACCTTCCAACATTTCCAGAATTCTGGGCACTCCTTTTCAAAGAGCAGTGGCCCCTTTTGTTGTTCCAAAGTCGCACCTATCTTTGCGGTTCATCCATTAGGTCAAAACCCAATGGATTTTCAGCTTCACCGCGGCCATTCTGCAGGTCGGCAAGGCTTGTGATGCCTGTCGCAAGGATGGCCGCAAGGCGACCCTAGGCAGCAAGGATCCGCAAGGGGGCCAAGGAGGGCAGGGAGGAGGCGATGGCAGACCCAATAGTGCTTGAACGTGTTTTTTGTTGGGCGGGGAGCTTCTATGTCACAGAAGGCGACGCTGGTTCCGAACGCCAGACCCATAGTTGCAGTAGCCTATCGCGCCCGCACCTCAAATTGAATGGGATCAACCTCACGCAGTGCTAATCACCTACAGAGCTCTCCATCTAATTGCAGAGCTCTCCATGTTGGTCTATTGATGCCCTCCGCTATTGCTTTCCATCAACTTCCATCCGAGGAGGGAGGAGCCGCAAACTCCGCCGCTGGACACGCTGAAGGTGGAGAAGGAGCTCTTTTTGTCGCCGCAGGCAGATGCATTGCTCATGAAGGCAGGGAGACCTTGCCCGGACGCGTGTTAGTGAGGTAGTTCGAGAGAAGATGAGAGGAGGACAGCTTGGTGTGTACGGCAACCGTTTGGAGCAAATCTTCCAACTCTTTCAGGAGCACAGTAAGGATGGAGGCCCCTCTTCACGAAGCTCAGCCAACATCAGTCAAGCAAAACGATCCCTTTCCGCCATGTAGAGTCACTGTGAGTAGAGTGGAGGGCGAATGACACCATCTATAGAACATTACAAAACCATCCAAAACCCTTCTCTTCTCGGTCCAACAGACTGACCCAATCAAATGGCCTTGACGGTGAATCCACCAAGGTATCAAGGTTCAGTACGATCCGTCTGCACCAGTTCTCCGTGGCTCCGGACTGCCTTCGTACCTGTCCGGAGCCCGCCGCCGAGGCGCGGGAGCTCTTCGCCACGTCGGTGGCGCTGCCCATCGCCTGGCTGCACCTGGATCCCGACGTGGAGAGCTCGCGCCGGCGGAAGCACGAACGCGTCAAGGAGGGTGCCTGGGACGGAGCGGGGTAGCTGGTGGGGGCGGAGAAGGGGGGAGAAGAGGGGGCAAGAGTGGATCAATGAGACAATGATGCTGAGGTTGTAGAATCGGGCGCTGGGAAACAGGATATGAAGTTTTGGAGCGGAAAAGGTCTGTGGCTACCCAGGATGGTTGCTCTTGTTCTGGTATTCCTGGTATTCGAGACTGATAAGCCCACCACATGCATGGAACTCTCGTTCCACAGCCCGGTCGGCTAGCGTGGCCGGGAAGGATGAAGGGCTTGAAGCCGTTTCATGACCCGAAGTTTCGGCCTGGACGAGCACCCTCCAACACAAATGGAAGTGGAGCTCACCCCCTGTTGAGGCTAACTCCCTGCACAAATAGCATGTTGAGGCCAACTCCTTGCACAAGCCATGCTGTCCCCTTCGACGTTGGAGGGAGGGGTGTGTGGTCCCATGCGGTCAGCGTACCGAGTCGCGTCACGAACAGCGCCTGAGGGGCTGAGTTCGTCTGCCAGTTGCAGCAGCAGTGCCGAAGCAAGCTCCTGGACAGGCGCCGACCTTCGTTGCGAACGCGCGCGCCGAGTCGTGGGATGTGGGAGCAGGTGCCGTGCCTTGGAACCTATGGGGCCACCTGGTTGGATGTGAAAAAGGGCCAAGTTTTGGTTTGTTTTGGATAAGATGATCCTCAAACAGGGAATCAATCAGGGCCACCTTTTGGGTGGAGACGGCCCCACCACGTTTGATGTGGCTTGTGAGTGGAGAATGCCCCACCCCACGGTCCGTGCACGGTTCCTTCTGCATGGAATGACTCCACAGAAGGCACTGGAAGTGCATGCGTCGTTCGGTTCGCGTCCGAATTCGCTCCGGACTCGAGTCGCGATGCCAGGGTCGTTCGTAGCGAAGCTTGTTCCTAGTTGGTAAGGCCAGGAGCCCCGATCGTAGCGTCCTGGATCAGAAATCAGTTGGATGTGTGGGGGGGGGACTGCAGTTCTCATTCGATACGGCCCATGCGCAGATGGCCATGCTGCGCCGTTGGGGAAGGAAGGAGCCGGCCGACCGTTCTTCCAGTGCGAACGGCGTGGAAGAAAGGGGTCCCTTCTTACCGCCGGCCGGGGCCCGAGTGGTGCCGGTTCGCAGGGTTCCTTCTACCCGTGGTGTGTCTTCTACATCAGACTTCCCGGAATCACATTTGTGCAGGAGTACTAGCACCAAGTTGATAGCCTCCTGAGTCTCAGAGTCAGCCCTTCTGTAAGCCCTTTCTTCGGCGACGTTCCTCCAGCCTTCGGCGGAGTCGCGGCTGATACACTCCGAAGGTCCCGAGCGACCGACCCGTCTCGGCGGCTGTGGGGACATCCGCTGGCCGCTGCGATGGCCGATGGCAGGTACTTCCTTTTCTGGTCCTTCTTTGCTGAAGAGGAGTTCTATTTGCCACTTAGAACGCCAAGACACACGCGGTCTGGGACATCTCCACACAAGTGGGTGCTTATTTGGACAATTTTGGACATGGACGGCTTCCCAATTCCCAACATTTCTTGCGTCAAACATGCGTCAGTTGGTCATCCACCTTGGCAGTGGTCGCTTTCGATTGGTTTGATCCTGCCACTTCACCTGATGTAGTGACTATGTCTGGTCCTGCTGGTCGAGCGCGCTCGACCTCTCGATGTTTGGACCTCTCCACCTCCCCCGGCCGACATGAAAAACCACCGGACTTTCACGTCCCAGCAGTCGCAAAGGGATGGTGTTTAGTCCCAGCCAGTGAGTGGATGTTCTGGGCACCCCGACTTCCTCCAAGTTCGGCACCCCGTCTTGTGACTGCAGGTCTCTGGATGTCGCTGTGTCTCACCAGGAACGGGGAGGTAAGCGCAGCTTGCTCCTGCCGAGAGTCCTCCAGCTCGTTTGAGCTTGGAATGCATTGGACCCTTCCACCGTGGACCGAGGCTCTCGTTGCCTTTGCTGTTTTGGTGTGGCGACTACCGCTTTGCGCGGCACATGACCTATGTGGTTTGCTTCGGGCTGGTCTGGGGGAACCTCCTCAAGGACGTCTTCCGCCTGCCACGGCCGAGGAACGTGAAGCAGGAGGTGCGAGACGAAGGGGCGATCGGATCGTCGGTCTTCGAGCTTTCAAAGGTGGCCGTTGAGTCACGAATCATCTATAGCTCCTTATAGAGGTGATGCGGGGTGTCCTTTAGCCTTCCCCCAAACAGATGGACCTCAAAAGGACGACTTGACTTGGTGCAGTGTTCCACAGAAGAGTCACTGCCATCAGTAGCAGCTCTATGTTCTGGGCCGTTTCTGTCCTTCGTATTCCATTTATCTTCCCTTTCGATGCACCCAAAGCTTTGAGCTTAGCTGAAAAAACCTACGCCAGTACCGCACCACCAGAGGGTTTCTAGAAATCCCTGGCTGGGCTCCAAGTCCTCCGTGCCTTTTGCGCCGGCACGTGGCATGCGCCGGCGCATGCATGTGTCGTCGCGTGACCTGCTGTGAGGTCTGGGTACCTCACAGTGCCTCCCAAATCGATTCCACGGCGTGCCGGGACTTCGGCTTCCCCTCCACGCACGCGATGAACTCCGTGAGCAGCTTGGTTGCGATGAAACGAAGGAAGGGCGATTCTGCAGGTCTTTTCCTCCAAGGAGGGAAGGGCTCCAACAACCTACAGAAGCAGGCCCAAGCACTTGCACGGGCTAATTCTTTGGGACAAGTGTACAATGATAGTAATATACATGATTCATGATTGTATATCAAGAAGCAAAATGCAACCTTTGAATGAGGATCATGCCCCTCTCCTTTGGGCAAGGGACAGGTCCTTTGAACTCCGTTGCTTCCGAATTACCAGGTAATTCGCTCTTCGCGGTGCTCTTCTATCTGGAGAATCCACGTATTTCGAGCACCGTGATGGTGCTATGCATGTGC